ACGAGAGCCAAACGATGCCATTGTGATGAGAGAATTCTTTTGCTCCAGAAACTTCTTATTATATGTGATAAGAATTGAATATTGTTCGTTTCTTATATATAAATTGTACCAAATACGATTCCGCTTTACTGTAAAAAAAATAAAACTTAAAATATAAAATAAAACCATTTGTTATTATTCTGTCGATAGATTTTCAAGTTTACGAAACATTGTTATTTCCCAAATTCAAAAATTTATCGACAGTAATCGTAATTCGAATGATATTGCAAATTTTTTCCCATAAATATCAATCACTTGTACGTTTGATTGAAAAGATTACTGAGAAAATGTCAATCGAATATTTTACACGTATTTTCAATACAAAATAATTATTCGTAAAATCATTTAGTTTCACATTTTAAAATTTTTCGAATAAATACATAGTGCGTTCTTTTTACTTTCTTTCTTTCTTTCTTTCATATAGGAAGGAAAGAAAGTATCGAAGAAGAAAGTATCTAATTGTCGCGTTGAATCTCGACATTTTCCACCCGGTAAAAAACGAAATGAAATCGTCCAACAGGGAACGTATGATGCGTCCTGGTGAATTACCACACGACAATATTGGAAAAGGTAAAATTACGAGGCATTACGATGTTATTTATGTGCAATTATTTTTAATTACTCCGCGATACTCGCCCATTGTTCGTTTGATTAAATGAAGGGAGTTTTATTTTTCTTTCTCTCTCCCCTTCTCTTCTTTTTATTCCGTCCTCCGGATATTTATCGTCGATTGTGATATTCATCATGATGGGAAATAGATAAATATTTTCCTTGAATATAATCGAGGAATTTGCGTTTCCATTCAACCATGAACTACTCTTTTCACCATAATTCTCTTTCAAAAATAATAATACAGAATCCTGAAACATTTAATCTTTGTCATTGCAAATTCGTATCAACACGTATCTTGTCCTTACTTACGAATTACAAAAGTCAAAGTTTAAAAATTACCTTCTTTAGTAGCACTAACGAGAAGATGGAATTTTAATCAACCAAAAAAAAAAAAAAAAAAAAAGAAAACGACAGTTAAACCAGAAGCAGGAAATTTACGTTTTATTCGTCCACGATACTCGACACGTAGGTACGATTGTTCCAACAAGATTCGTCAAGGTCAACTGTACACTCCACGTCAAGTGGCCAGGGGAGAATCCAATGAAAGGAATCCCGACCCCTTTGTGTCAGATTGCCTTCCCCAGTGCATTGTCGAACGCACGAGTCTGGGTCAAAGGGCAGCAGCTCTGTTGGCCTTGCACGACCCTCGCAGGGCGAAGCCAGGAGCAGAGATTCGAAACGACAGCGGATTCGGGCACAATGGGTGGGATGGATACCTTGTTTTCTCTCGGGGGACGTAGACGTAACAAACGAGGGGGGAATGTAGATTCGTTTTCTATTTTAACGCGGTATCTTCCTCGACCCTCGACCTCTCTCATCGGAATGAATGAATGAATGAATGAATGAATGCGAAGCAAACGAGGTGACTGATTTCGAATCTCTCGAAATCGTTATTTCGTGTATTTTCGCAATCGTAATTGTGAAATTTTGTTTCGTTTTGTATACGTGTATTTTAATTAGAAATAATTTCATCGAAATATATTCAAAGGGGGTGTACGTATTTATCAAAGCTTAAAATATATTTTAGTAAATATCGATATAAACGAGATATGGGGAATACATATTTTCATATCTTTGACACGACCTAACACTATTTAATTTACACGTTAATATTAAATAGTATTTCTTAGAAAAAATAAATTGAATCGTTAAACTTATTAGAAATCAATTTCACGAGAGGAAAAATATTATATAATAGTTTCTGTAAAAATTTTCTATTTTTTGAAGGAAAAAAAAAAAAATGAAGAAAATTCCAAGATACCATTTTTGAATCGTAATTGAACAAGTTCGCAAATTAAAAATTCTCTCTCGTGAAAACGACAAACAACAACTTTTTCACCTCGAAGTAGCACTCGTTCAAGTTATTTGCTCTGAAACAAGAACGTTCCTCGAGATAAACGTCCCTCGAAATCATCGGTGTCGTTCAACGAGAGATTCTTAATTAACTCCCTTGTACTCGTGGGATAAGCAAGATACACCCTCCTCGCTCTCGTTGTAACGAGTGTATCATTAAGTCTCTGGTGGATACGTCACGGTGTAAAAGGGAGAGCCGGCAGAAATTTCATTTTCACTTCGAAATAGTACTTGCACGGGAGTGGAAAAGTGCTCTTCAAGTGTTGTACGAGGCAAGGCGACGGTAACCAGTTGCGTACCGGCGAGGAAGAACACGAACGCGAACCACTTTGGGGGACGACTTAATCCCCTGGACGAGTTTTCCCTCGCATCGGGGATTTTTCATTCATCGTGAATATACTTTCGAAACTATCTTTTCCTTTTCTTCTGTCATAGAATATATACAGAATATTCCTTATTTAATTTAAAAATAATTCTATCCAACATTTATTTTAATCCCTTCGTGGATATTCAAAATCGTTATTCGATGGAAATTTGAAAAGATAAAATTTTGATTTATATTCACCTAACGAGGTATTAATCCAACAATCTTATTCAAAATATTCCTCGAAAACGGGTTTGAGAATTCGTCGAATATATTAAAACGTCACAATGCCTCGACTAATTTCAATAATTTGATTCCCATCAACACAGCCCAGCCACTTCTCCATCAATTCTTCGCCCGTCGTATTTGCCCGGTACAATATTGACTCTGCAACAAATTATACAACACCGCCCGCGTCTCCGTCTATCCACTGCGTTTCCTATCCAACGTTAGGAGGGGAGGAGCCTGGAGACGATATTTTTCCTCCGGTACCGGCCTCGAGACGAAATCAAGGATACGTCGTCGTCGTGGCGTATGGATAGACGAGGATACGATGTATATATATATATATATCTACGAAGGGTGAGTCCGTTATTGGTTGTAAAAACGGGTCGAAGCATCTGTACGCGATATGAGGCCTCGATGCACCCTAAAAATCCACTCCTGAGCCCCATCGACGACTGTAATAAGTCACACTGGCTCCCTGATCTTATATACCCGTGGCTGTTCGGTGAAATTCAACTACAGATGGAGGGATCAGGGACGTGGATTTTCCTTCTCTCCGTTGAGTTTTGCTTAGCTTCCTTTTTCATCCGTGGCGCGCCACTTTTAGAATCTTTTTTTTTTTTTGGAAATTTGAGCAACGTAGAAATATTAAGTAAAAAATGTTTCTAAATGTTCGAACCTGAAAATAAATTCGAGTGAAATTCCTTTAAAATTCCGATTTCCAAGATAAATTTTAAATACACAAATTTTCATCAAAATAATAATAAAGCAGATCGAGATACAAAATCTACGATATTCCAACACGAGAAGGGGTACTTAGAGATATAAATTGGAATTTTGTTCTTAAATCATTCCACATCATGTTTCCACGTATTCAGCTTCGAGCCTCTGAACAGTATACATCAGCACGAGACAGAAGATTCTTCGTGGAAAAAGTTCGCTCGATAGAAAAGAAATTCGAAAAATTTTCCCGAGAGAAAAATTCTTCTACACACGGATGGCGCCTCAAAGCCCCCTCCCCTTTATACGGCACTGTTTCTCTTGTGGCAGCTGGCTCGCATGGCGGAACAACACTAAACTCGAGCGATCGTATCGGGTGGCCGTTCTTATTTTTAATAAAAACTCCACGGTGTGGCGAGATTAAAAAATTCGTGCCGACGCCACGATGGCCTCGTAACTTAAAATTAAGAAAATTAGGCGACCTTCTCTCGCCCCCTCATCGCGGAAGGCGATCACGGTTTCCGATCCTTCCTAAATCCCGAAACTTGTTCGCTTCGAAGACGATAGGAATTGGATACAATGCGCTTCTCGATATTTTTCCAATCATAATTTTCTTTTTTTTTTCTTTTTTAAGGTAAATAATCAAACGATCTATTGAGGAGAAGAAGTTGAAGAATTTTGAATAAGGTAAAGTAGATATAAAATTCTATTTTATAGAAGAGAGAATTATTTATATATATATATATTTTTTATATATGTGATCATAATTATAGTTTATAATGAAAAATTGATATATTACATTCTTTTACTTTTGAATTTCTTTTAAATCTCAAACCAAAGAGAATTGAAGTTAAACAAATTTCCTCGATTAGAAAGAAATTGGAAAGAAATTAAGAATTGCCAATGATTATAAGTCGAGTATCGATAATATTGGAAAATACCTATGATTTGAAATTTACCCATTTGTCAGAGGGTTAAAATAATAAGATACAATGTTAATATCTTTTTTTGAAAGAAATAGATAATAGAGAAAAAAAGAAGGATTATAGAAAAGTCTCCAGCCACGATTTATCGTTATCGAAAATCTTCTTAATATGGTCCGAGCGTATCAGCTCGTCAGGGAACTTTTTCAATATTAGCCATACCGTAGACAACCGGAGAAAGAGCGATTTTTAACGCGGAATCTTTCCGATATCTCATTATTCCGTCGAGTTCTCGAAAGAACGGAACGTTGCCGAACGACGAACTTGACGCAATCGATTGTGAAATCCTCGAATATTAATGGAAATTAATTCGTCCCGATTAATTTCTCTTTCTGAGCAGGCCGGTATCGGTATCGATTCGCAATTACACACCCGATTACTTTATCCGGCAACACGGAAAATTGATGGAGAATTCCTTTCGAGATCAGTTCTTGCCAGAAATCAGCGAAAATAAAAATTATTCACAGGGAGGAAATTTAATTTAATTTAATTTTCTCGTTAAAAAATCATCTTACTTGTTTTTCTTTCTTTCTTTTTTCTTTTTTTTTTTTGTGTGTGTATCGAGAAGAATTCGATAAGAATCGCGTGTATAAATATTCGTCGAATCTGGATTCTTGATGCTTGGTGATTTCGCGAGTTGACACACTGAAAATCTTCCCCTGTTAGTTGAATTACCGAAGGATTTACGTGGATTAAGGACTTACCTGAAATTCCGTCGTAGGTCCACCATTCGTCCCAACTGGCCTCGGATTCTGTAAAGCAACGAAACAAACTATTATCGAAGTGTTTGGAACTCGATTACACGTTTCATTAACGCTTACGATCTGTTTATCAACGATAAATATCGAAATAAAAATATCGTGGGAAAGTAACAATTGCAAATACAATTATCCCTAATAATTTCCCCAATAAATATATATATATATGTTTTATTTTTATATATATATATATGTTATATTTTTTCGATTAAAATTATTTTCTTTTCTTAAGAAATTTGAGAATAAAAATTATCGTTTCTTTTTTCTTTCTCGATATCGAAATTAATTCGAAAGTAAAGATACGTGTAAACGTAGGTTTAACCGAGGTGTAAAAAGCGAAATATCTTTCTTGCGCCGCAGAAGTGAATTAACGCGTGGTATTTGCCAGTTTCTTAGAGGCCGCATATCTTTAGAAAGTTTGGATGGAAACTTTAAAGCGCTACGAGGAAGTAGCGAGGAACATCGATCAATCGAACTTCTTGGCATCGAGAAATGATCGATCAATCGATTGAGGCCCGGAATCGAAATTGAACGCGTTCAATGGAGTAATTGTAACTTTCGAAACGCGAAGAGAGCGAGGAAATATTTCTCTCGAAATATTCGATAATTCGCGAAACAGTAAGTACGTTTAATTTAAATAAAAAAAAAAACGATGGATCGATATTTATCCCTTCCTTTTACATTTAATTAGGAACAATGATTATGTAAAACTGTACATAATTATGCGATAGAATTGTACATAATTAACCTGTTAATTAAAAATAGTATTATAAGAATCACTGATTAATTATTATTATAATTATTCTAACTGAATAAAAACCAACGTCAAATCATTATACACTTTAAATAATTGTAAATACAAACAAATCTGAAATAATTTGACTAATTTGCACCAATATTGTATTTTTTACAAAATAAAATAAACAGAATCCTTTTAAAAATACTTCGGTTTTTATTTTTAATTAGCCCATTAATAACTCACGAAATCATCGCCTTTTTCAAAAAAAAAAAAAAATGGAGCCTAGCACATTCCTAGCACTCCTTCTCTTCTAAAAAAGAAAAAAGAAAAAAAAGAAGAGGAGAAAAAGGAAGGGATAAAAATTCCAGGGAAATCTGGAAACGCGATGAGATATCGGATCGGAAACGGTAATCGTTAAATCGCTTAAAATTCAGCGAGCGAGAGTGTCTCGTCTCGGAGCACTCAACGTCCTCATAATTGAATTCTCATTCCACGAGGAACACTTTATCTTCCGCATTACCGCGTCCCTTTCCATATTCATTACTTTTTCCGCCTCGAAACAGCCGGCCGGCACCGAGAGACCACTCGTCCTTTTTATTTTTTCCTCCCCTCCCTTTTTTTCCCTATATGCAAATCATCCCGCGTTCCATCCGTGGCGAACGTTTTAATGCCCTGAACGTATCGAACAGTTCGAGATTCCAGCTCGAACAATTATTGCTTCGAACCTAGCTTTCTGTGGTCGGCCCTCGTCCACGTGTGAAATACGGCAAACCTTTTTCCATCTCTGTTTAACCCGCGTATATAGCAAGAGTCAAACAGTATAGAAAAAGAGTCGAGTATACAGTGGAGAATTATTTATTAAATTCCTCTTCCTAATCGAAATAATATACTATTTATTTTTTCAATATCTTTTTTTCAATTAATTTCCTACATTAAGAAAAATGTATTAACAATGATTTGAAAATCGGATCAAGATCTCAACAGATCCGAGGATGTAGAATGAAGAAATGAAATTTCTAAAGGCAAACAAAATTTGTAGATATATCTTTCGAGTTGTAAACTCGAAATTGAAATAATTATTGGATAAATGAAAGAAGGATAGAACGAGACGATTCGTCCAGCCTTTTCCACTTATTTCGAACATATATATATATATATATATATATATATATATATATATATATATACATACACGCATACTCTTTCGCTCTAGGTTTACGGTGTAACCACGATAGGTAGTCCGGACCGAGGGTCTGACCAAAGCGCGGCCCATTCCACTTCAGGTGACCCATATTCGATTATCTGGATGCATGCCATCCAAACCCCCGCGTTGTGCAAACTAATTGCCTCAAATTGGAAAACTTTCTCGGCCTCCCCTGATCCCCACACTCTTCTCCTCCTACCCCCATTGTCAATCCCAAACGCTTATCCCATGTCCTGCGCTCGCCACGATCATCGTTCAGAATTCGCCATTCTCATTTCTTTGTTTCTCCGTCCAGGGATATTAAATTGTTTTCCGATTAATGTTTACCTTGTTACTTCCGAGGAGGAATTTCGAACGATTGATCGATAGACACTGGAAAGCAATATTATAAATCATCAGATTTGAAGATAGAGATGGATGATGCAAATGATTGAATACTGCGAATAGTTTACTCTCTGTTTCATTTTCAAAGAAGTGAAAAATTTTCCACGCGAAATGAATTCCAAAAACGAAAATATTTTCGTCCATTTCGGTAAGAAATTTACATTTTTATTTTTCCAAGAGGCTTTTGCTTTTGGAAAAAAGTAAAAGTGTTCTCCAACGATCGAAGGGTCGAAAATAAGGAGAAAATAGTTATTTAATTGTATTGTTATTTAATTAGGTAGATTTACCATCGCGTTAAACATCGAACGAGAATCGCGTTTCACGATGGAAGAAGGAAAGGCTCGTCGATGAACATTTCCGGCCAATGCGCGGATGGTTGACGCGTGCACGTCGAGAGCACGCGAGGGAAAGGAACGAGATATAAAGAATGAAGAGGAATAAAAGGAATGGAAGAAGTCAAACGAGGGAACAGTGATTTTCTGTTTCTCTTTAATTTCACCCTTTTTACTTGTATTTTTACGAAACCCATTTTCTCGTTTCTCGTAGTCCAAGTCTCGAAAGTATTTCCTTTTTTTTTTTTTTTTTTTTTACACGCGCGCACGAAGAATGTTTTCATTTACCTTTATTTTTTTTATTGTTTTTTATCGCATTGTTAAAGTGAATTCTTGGACGTTCAATTTTTTCGTGATTTTATTTTCACCCGAGAAACAAGTTTAATTTCAGGTGGAATTAATTTTTTCTTCACTAATATGTGTAAGTATTGCAAAAAAGCTTAATCCATGCGATATTGCAATGTGAAACAATACTTTGAAGAATTCGAAATATATATATATATGTATGAATTTCAACAATTTCTAAGATCGATTATTATCAATTTAAATTCTGCAAAAATCAGAGCGATCTATTTTTAACTACAATTTTATGATTACAAATTAAATAAAAATTCGAAATATCCATTTTTATAGGATTTATTTCGATATAGTAGTGCTATATTGAATAAAGAGAAATAATCTCACGATATTTTGAAAAAGCTAGAATAATACTAGTAATTCAATATAATAGTTGAAAGTAAATTCAATATTTTCAAAAAAAAAAAAAAAAAAA